CAAAGTCATATCATGTGGCTTTGTTCAAACACACCTAAAATTCAGGTTCAAATTAAATAACTAGGCTGGCTTTTTCATATCACCAGCTTTCATCAGGGCTTTGATGGCTCTTGCCCTCATCTCAAGTTCTAGCAGCTCCAGCTGCGGTGCGGAAAGCTGAACATCTTCTGGTGGAGGAACAGTTAGGGTAGCTGCTTTGGGCTCCTTTGGGCTAGACTCTGCCAGTCCCAGAATCTCATTCACACTTTTCTCAATGTCTTTCTCCAGATCATCTATCTGACCAGCTTCACTCTGGACTGTATTGTCTGCGACCTCAGGAGCAGCGGCCTCTTCATTGCATGGGCCTTCTATGTCGCTGTCATAAGCATCTGCATGTATACTGAGAACATCACTATCGCCCCCTTTGCCTTGTTTTAATTCCAGACCTTCAGGTTGCTTGTTCTCTTTCAGGGATGAAGAAGAATCTGTACAGATGTCTTGTTGACTGACTAAATCAGATCCCTTCTTCGAGCCATCATCTGCCGCCTCTTCCATATCAGAGTCCATACCATTGTCACCCTCAAGAATCTTCAATATTTCTTTTTCAGATAGGAGTTCTAACTGTTCTTGGCATAATTTTTTAATTTCTTCTACTGAACAGTTCTTTAACACGTCAGGCAGCATTTTCTTTAACTTCTTCTCTCCGATGATACAGAAGCACTGCTGAAGCATTTCTTTTTTGTCTGATAGGTAGAAACTAACTGGTTTTAATGACACAGTCAGGTCCAGACCACCTTCTTCAAGATCACTGTGCTCTGCCAAGAATAATTCTTTTTCCAAAGTTGGTGAAAGATATTTGGCTTCCTGCGGCGCCGAGCCTGGCACCCCGGAGGCCGAATCTGTGCTCCGCCGCTGCTTCCGGCGCTCGCTGGGCTCTGGGCCGCTCCTTTTGTGCCGCTTCTCCTGGGAAGACTTCTTCCCCGTCATGATGCTTGAGCTGGAACCACCGGAAAGCCCGCCGTCTCTGAAGCCACCACATAAACTTCACCCGGGCCGCCGGGGTGGGCCTCGGCGTAGCAATCTGTCCCTATAAAATTTATAAATAGTTATGTCCCACACCTCAGAGTGGGATATTTTTCCTATGCCTTCCCTAAACCCTAGTTAGAGGTTGCCTCAGAAGCAATCCAGATGGTGTCTATATTGTGTAACAAGGATGAGAAGGCAGAATGAAAATATGTATTTAATCCCAAATTGTTGGGGTCCAGCCCCAGCAGGTCCAGGGGTTCCCAAAGGTGTGGACGGAGTCGGCGAAGAAGGAGGGAATGACATAGAGGCAGCGTTCAGTCGATCATCATAGCCAGGTTCTCTAGCCAAGGTTCTCCAGCCAAGTTCTGTGTGTTATTATCTTGTTACATCTGTATTTATACCAGTTGATTTTAATCCTATCAATTTCTATTCCAAAGGTTAGGGCATTTCTTATCTCCATTCCAGGGAGTAAAGATTATGTAGCTTAAGGGTGATTGTTCATAGTTAAAGTGATTACCCGCCTGGCACTTAGTTAAGGGGTTTTATTCCCTCCCTAATTTAAGGGGAAAATCCCTATCTGGGGAAACAGCCTTTCTCGGAGAGGTGACCTTGGTTAAAATACATAGCGCCAAGAAGGGGAGCAAACATATTAAGAACAGTATGCCATATATGCCAGGTCCCTTGAAACATATGCTGTGCAGATGTTTCTTCCCTGCAGCGACTGTGTCAAGCAGCAAGGATGGACCGGCTTCCGGCACCAAATCTTGAATTTTCTGAAATCAAGCTAATTAGGGTTGAGTAGGGGAGGGAAGTTGGGCAATGATAATAACAGCTAATAGTTGGGTAAATGATGGGCAACAGAGATTGGGGAGTTTGGATTATAAAATTCTAATATTGGCATTAGAAGGCTTAACTGTCCAATATCTGTTTCAACTAGCTGATATGAGACAAGACATTGAAATAAAGGAATAATTGCCCTGGCCAGTGTCGCTCAGTTGGTTGAGAGCCACCCTGTGCACTGAAAGGTTGCTGGTTCGATTCCTGATCAGGGCATATTCCAGGGTTTCTGGCTCAGTCCCTAATGAATGGTATGCAGGAGGCAGCCGATCCATGTTTCTCTCTCTTTCTCCCTCTTCCTCTCTCTTAAATCAATATAAACATAAAAAAAAAAAGAAAAAGAAAGAAAGGAGCCCGGCCCATGTGGCTCAATGGTTGAACATTGATCCGTGAACCAGGAGGTCTCCGTTCAATTCCCGGTTAGGACACGTGCCCGGGTTACAGGCTCAATCCCCAGTGGGGGGTCGGGAGATGCAGGAGGCAGCTGATTGATGATTCTCTGTCATCACTGATGTTTCTTTTTCTCTCTCCCTCTCCCTTCTTCTCTCTGAAATCAATAAAAACATATATTTTTAAAAAGAAGTAAAGGAATAATTGTGAGCTATTGGTTAAAGTACTTAAACAAGGAGGCCATTAGACTGTGGTGGCTCTAATGCCTGGTAGCTTACATAAGCAAACTGAAACCTAAGCCAGAGTCAATACACTTGAATTTGAGAAAATGAAATTTAAGAACTACTAATCGCAACCTACCAACTAGGCTTCCCTAATAAGGCAATGGCTTGAGCTATAGCCAATCAAATACTTTCTTTGATTTGCTACAGAGTCTTAGCTATAAACACCTTTCTCTGTTGGTGGAGTATTCCTAACCTTTTTTGGTTTGGGCCTACTTGATTTTAATCTATTTTTATGCAAATAAACTTCAAATTTTTGATGTACCTCAGTCTATATTTTAATAATTCATTGAGTGCTTTCCAAGTGTAGATCTAGTTAAAAGCATTATTCTCTAATTGCTAGGCTCCATTCTCACGTGACTAGATAATGAGCATGTGTCAAAGTTTTGTTTCACACAAGTGGGCATAAAATGAAGAACACTTAAATGAGAACAGAGACTACAGAGCTTGCTATGTCAGCCACCATCACTTTGGCAGAGACTAAAGGGCAATCAGAAAGAGGGGAGGCTTTACACGTATACCTTGGAGACATTGTGGTTTCCGTTTCAGACCACTGGCGTAAAGTGAGTATGGCAATAAAGTGAGTTGTAATCTTTTTGCTGATGGTGGGTCTTGGAGTCAATATGTAAAATATGCAACACCTGTGAAGTGCAAAAAACGCGAAGCACAATAAGAAAGGGGATGCTCCTGGTATGCTGTGATTAAAGGCTGTTGGCAAGGGGAGCTGGAGGTGAAGTAACTAGAAATGGGGCATCTCTGTGATTGGTTTAGGGAGCATATTTGGTTTTCTCTTATTAGTTCTGGTGCGTGTGTTCGAGTGGGTATGTATGTGCCTAAAACAAGGAAGTTGGCAGCCTTTGAGCAAATCCTGACTATTCTGACCTGATTGCTGCAAAGGTTGTGGCTTGGTTTCTTACGTGGGTCGGAGTTTTATGATCATTTATGGTCTACCCATTGTTAATTTGTATATTAAGTCTCTTACTCTTGGTAAGGTCACCAGCAGAATGATAGAACTGATTCCACAAGGGTATGAGGAACTGGAATTTACATAGTCACTGGAGAAAAGAATGATTAACTGAAAATTGATACAATGCTGGCTCATGTTTCTTGATTTTAACCTTTGGGACTATTTTCTGTACTAGATGTTGGCTCCTTCTCCCCATTACACCTCATCAGGTTTTTACCAGTGAATATCTTGACTTACCAAGTTGTAAAACCTCGGCCCTACTAAATTGCTATTCAAAGTTAAATTTTCCTGATAGTGTCAGATGAACATCAACTGGGTTTATTACAAAAATCTTCTAGAATGAAACCAATTTTAAAAAGCCACACAATCTTTTTGGTTTTATTTCCAAAATTTGAATAAAAAATTATGTATTATCTCAAGCTCCACAACAGTCTAATGCAATTGTGGTAGTACAGTTATTCGCTGTGTTAGTACAATTATTCCTGATGAGAAAACCAACACAGGTTGAGGAGTGACCAGTACTAAGTAATTAGACGACAGTTACAGAGTAGTTGAGCACTGGTTATGCTGCGGCTTTGGGTTATACGTGAGGAGAGGACAGCCACAGAACTCGTACACACTCCAATACATTGCAGGCTGTGGCCAAGGCCAATCTTTCTCGTCGCTTTATTTCTACCCCTTTATGTTACCTCTGAATTCGAAATCCTTTTCTGAGAGAGTTCACAGGTGTGGTGGTTGGGAATTCAGAAAGGGCTTCACTCCAGGGTTTGCTACAGAGCCTTAGCTATGAACTAAGGCTCTGTAGCAACCTTTCTGGTTGGGCTGTCTTGAGCAAGCCATTTAGCTTCCCTAGTCTTCTTGTTTCCTCACTTGCAACAGAAAGAGCTGGAGCCATGTTCTTTGAAGTTTAGATGCTGGTAACAGGCATTTGCTGTAAAGTCACAAAAACCTGGCAGACAATAACCTGGAAAATCACGTTACCACTTGCGTTAAACAGATTCCAAAGCAGATCTGGTAGCTTTACATTCCTGCAAAGGAGAGATTTCCATCTTGGCGGCTGCTACTTGCCTCGCACCTGAGCCTGTTCTCCTCCCCACGCCAGCCATCCTCCCATTGCCATGGAGACCCAGAACGCTCCAGCTGGCTGATTATCCTCCCGCGGGACCCCTAGCGGAGCACGTGAGGACGCACGCGCGTTGGAGGCGGCCGGAGGCGCCGCGGTGGCTGCCGGGATTGAGGTTTGAGCAACCTGATCCGGAAGTGGTGGGCGGGGCTCCGGGCCGAGTCCCACCTCCTTCGCCGCCAGTGCACGGACCCCGGCGCGGCGGGGCAAGGCTGGGTGAGCGTTCGGGCCGGCCGGGTCGCAGACCAGGATCTGGAAGCGGCCGCCACGCGGGCGTGAGTGGCTGGCCGAGGCGGAGGCGCGGGGAGGCGGCGTAGGTCGCGTGGGGCGACCCTCCTCGCTCAGGTAGGGGCTGCCGCCGCCGGGCGGGGGGCGCGGGTTCCGGCCTGTTGTTCCTCCGGACGCCGCCTCCGGCGGGGCGAGCGCGGTTTCCACCCTCCGGGTGGCTGGGGCTGCCGTGCTCTGCGCGAAACACCTCCACACCCGAACAACTTCTTGGGAGCATTGTCTGAGGCCGGCGGTGTAGGGAGCAAACTTTTGGGTCGGAAGGGGGAATTCGCGGTGAGCCTCGTCCTCGCCCCCAAGTTGTACCTTAGCAGGAGCTGAGCGGACCCTGTGTGTGGAGTTCGGGGAGCCACGGTGTCCCGCCAGCTAAAGGCTGTGATGTAGATGCTCGTCCGCGGACTGTTGTTTGTTGTAAGCTGCCTTTTGGAGACCTCGTGTCTAATGGTGGTTTTCTGCAAAGCCTAAAGGTGTTCTCGGAACGACACGCCGCGGTCCATTTCTCTCCCACCTTTGGGCTGTAAGCAGCCCCTTCTCAGCCTGCCGCCCATTCATCGCAGGGTCCTTGGGTGCCGGTGGCACCTCGGAGGCTTAGGCAGCGACCGAAGCCCAAGAGGAGAGTGGAAAGGTTGAAGGAAGCCGAACGATGTTACGGGAAAGAACGTGGAGTCAGGAGATTGTGACTTAATGTTGGCTTCTCGGTGTCCGTGACACGTGGACACGTGAAGTCCCAGAGTGGTGGTGTGTTTTCTTTCAGTGTAACAGGGGCAGGGGGGTGTGCCCTGTGGACCACACTTGTAAAACTCGGCCAATAGTGAGGGGTCTTCTAATGGAAGGAGGCAAAGTTGGACGGAGCTTTCGTTGGCGATAGCCAGTAGGCTTTCTGCTCCGGGCCTTTGACTGTGATCGTGTCACACCTTTTACACACGGGACTTTACCAGCGTTTTAGGTGTGGAGTAAGGAGTCATAAAGGCCACCAAAACCAAGGACTGGATCCGGATCGGAGCCTCCTTACTCCCGAATCAAGTGCCCGTTGGGCCACCATGCTGGGAACGGCCTCGGAGCGCCGAGAGAGAAATCCTGGCCTTCCAGAAGCGTGCATTTGAGAACAGGAAAGCATTGAGCACCTCGCTTACCAGCAGTAAATAAATAACATGTGACCCAGTGTTTTAGAGGCTTAACCAGTGACTCAGGTGTGGATCGTGGAGCACTGATTTAGGAGTTAGGCTATTTGGGTTCTGGTCCAAGGACTTCCAGCTGATGTGACCTTAACCATAACTCTTCAGAGTTTACATTTTAAAAGAATAATTAAAATGGATACCTTTGATCTCATAGGGGTCCTGAGGGTCAAATGCTATAAGCACTTAGGTCTCCTTCAACTGTAAGGCTTTTTATTTAAGTTTGTGTTCAAATCATGCTTCAGAGCCTGGGTTAATCACCTGTTTTTACAAGGTGAAATAAACAGATGCTTCCTGTTTTAGGCTTGTCTCCTCTCTCTCTCTCTCTTTTTTTTTTTTAAATATATTTTATTGATTTTTTACAGAGAGGAAGGGAGAGGGATAGGGAGTTAGAAATATCCATGAGAGAGAAACATCGATCAGCTGCCTCCTGCACATCTCCTACTGGGAATGTGCCCTCAACAGAGGTATATGCCCTTGACTGGAATCGAACCTGGGACCTTTCAGTCCGAAGGCCGACGCTCTATCCACCGAGCCCGGTTAGGCTGTAGACAGCATTCTTTTATTTTTTTTATTTTTTTTTTGCTAAAAGCTAAAAGTATACAAAGGGTATT